ACCATGGCCCCAGCCATATCTAACATCCAGCCCGTGACCCAAAGGTTCTCTAGTTGGAGCTCACTTGTGCACAACGGTCACACTTAACCGAAGTGACAATCGACCTACTCTTGAATCTCCCAATTTAATAAAACCTTTTAAAAGTCAAATCGGGGATTCAAACGATCATTTCAAACATTTTCAAAATACTGATCATGGTAGTGTACTAAAACCCTTTTTGTATCACTTTACAATATAAAAGCTTTTTGCATAAGGGTTAGACATCAAATCAGAATGGTGAGTATGAAATCATTCATGAATGCACATCACACAATCAATAAGGCACATTTTCGACAAAAATTATATTGAAAAGCTTGTTTCCCGATTGGAAAACCCTTTACGTATATAACTTGTATATATATGATTTCAAAGCTAAAACTCTTACCCATTGTTTATTTAACTTCAAAATCACCACAGATTCCAAGATCTACTTGCATGCATGCCTCGGGTCCTTTGAATCTATGTGGGTTGTTGCTACCACAAAAAAAAGCACACTTTAAAATTGATTTACAATGCATGCATGTCATGAAGAATGAAGATCTCATCACTTACCTTGCCTTGGGTTCACTAAGTTGAACCCTCCCTTTCTTTTTTCTTGTTCCTCCTTTCTCCCTTTCTCTCCTTCCTTTCTTCCTTTGTCTTCCCTTTTTCTTCTCCTTTCTCTTTTCTTCTTGGCAGTGGACGGATCTGTCAAGGCCAAGCCTTGAAAATTTCTTTAGTTTTCTCCATTTTGTGCTTACATGGGCGGATTGCCCAAGATCACTTGCCTTTTGCCTTATTTTCCTTTCTTTTCTCTTTATTCTCTCTCATGGGCGGATTGCCCAAAGTTGCATGTCTTGGTGGCTTGTTTCTTTTCTCTTTTATGTGACAAAACACAAGGCAAAAGCCTTGGCAACATGTCCATCCGCCACATTACTTTTCCCACACTTTTTCATTCATTCATTTTTTTTAATTTCTTTATTCATCCCTTATTCCCATTAGACCAATTCAATCCCCACTCACATTTCATGCACACACTACATCTTTTGCTCATTGGTCCAAAATCTATCCCATTTAACTTCAAATATTGAGAATTGCACATAAGTCCTCTAACTTTTCCTTCTTTACCTTGCGACCCTGTAAACTTTCATGCTTTATAACTTAGTCCTTCCGATACTTCTTAAATTCTAATCTCCTTCTATTTTCTCCTTATACATGTGTACAAATATAATATGAGGTTTACACCCCCTCAACGTGTCACCATAATATTTAAATATATACTTACTCGCTCATGCTTTATTTCATAAAGGCATGCGGGTCCCATTAATGTCATTTTTCTTCTGAATTTCTTTCTTACTTCTTCTCCCCCACTTAGAGTGGTCATCTAATCCTCTTTAATGGCTAATCTCAATAATAATTAAAATTTTAATATTTTAATATTTTTTATTATTAAAATATTAAAAAATATTATTTTATTTCAAAATATTCTTTTTGCCCACTATCGATCCTTGGCACTTATATTTTTTATCAATTGACCCTTTGCTTTATCGATTAGGTCTTATTGAGTTCTATTCACAAATACGGAGTGTTACAATCTCCCTCACTTAAAACAAATTCGTCCTCGAATTTAAATAGAGTGGGCCTGTAAATCATACCTTAATCTTGGAAAAGATGTGAATACTCCTTTCTCATTTCCTCTTCGGGTTCCCATGTTGCCTCCTCCATCGACTAGTTTTGCCACAAGACTTTTATTGAGACAACTTCCTTAGAACATAATTGTTTCTCTTGTCGATCTAGTATTGCTACTGGCTGCTCTTCAAAATTCAATCCTTCATCCAACGGAAATCATAATGTATAACATGTGTTGAATCCTTAACATACTTCCTCAACATAGACACATGAAAAGTAGGATTCACACGAGCTAATTCCATCAGCAAAGCTAGTCGATATGTTGTTAACCCAATTCGTTCTAAGATTTTGAAAGGTCCAATGCATCTCGAGCTCAACTTCCCTTTCTTCCTAAGTCTTTTACTTCATTTCAGTGGGCATACCTTCAGGAATATAAAATCTCTCACTGGGAACTCCAGAGGATGACATCTATTATCCGCATAAGACTTTTGTCTACTCTGCGCTGCTCTTAGACGTTCCCTTACCAAACACACCACATCAGTTGCTTGTTGCACCAAATCGAGACCTAACAATTTCCTTTCTCCCACTTCAAACCATCCGTAGGCAATCTGCACTTCCCTCCATATAATGCTTCCAAAAGAGCCATTCCAATACTAGCTTGGTAGCAATTGTTATAAGCGAATTCCGCCAAAGATAATTGTTGATTCCATGTGGTTCCTATTTCCAACACTATTGACCTCAACATATCTTCAAGCGTTTGTATAACCCGCTCAGACTAACCATCTGTTTGAGGATGATATGCAGTACTAAAGTCCATACGAGTGCCTAAAGCTTGATGTAAACTTCTCCAAAACTTATTAGTAAACTGTGGCCCTCGATTACAAAATTCTGATCTTGCTCTTCTGAGCCCAAGATTTTCATTACGTATTCATCTTGATCCTGAGCACTATGAATTCAGTCCAAGATCATTGTTCGTACTTGAAAATGAGCAATAAGGACACTAGGCCCACCAATGTCAATCTTAACCCCCATACTGCCTAGGCTTTGCCATCCACGCACTATACTTTGTCGTTCGGCTATCAAATGCAGCAAACTTCCCATAGATTTCTAACTCAAGGCATCAGCTACTACGTTCGCCTTACCAGGGTGATATTGGATGGTACAATCATAGTCTTTGAGCAATTCCATCCATCGGTGTTGTCTTAAATTAAGATCCCTTTGTTGAAATATATTGTTTAAACTCTTGTGATTGGTATATATTTCAAAGCTTTCACTGTATAGGTAATGACGCCAAATCTTTAATGCAAATACTATCGCCGCCATCTCCAAGTCATGGGTAGGCTAGTTTTGCTCATGCTTTTTGAGCTGCCTTGAGGTGTACGCGATGACTCTACCACAATACACATCCTAATCCAACCCTTGATGCATCACAATACACCACATATCCCCCTGGGCCACTCAGTAAGCTTAAGACCGGTGCCAAAATCAAACATTCCTTTAATCTCAAGAAACTATTCTCACATTCATCAGTCTATTCAAACTTAGCCCCTTTTCGCATCGACTTGGTCAATGGTTCTGCGATTTTTGAGAAATCTTGCACAAATCGATGATAATACCTAGCCAAGCCAAGAAAACTTTGAACCTCAGTAACCGTAGTCGGCTTTAACCAAGTTTGAATTGACACAACCTTCTGCGGATCAACACCAATCCCTTCCTCTAATATCACATGTCCAAGAAAACTAACATTCTCTAACCAAAAAGTACACTTAGAGAACTTTGCATACAATTCACGTTCTCAAAGTGTTTTCCATACTATTCGTAAATGTTGTGCATGTTCTTCAGGACTCTGAGAATACACCAGGATATCATCGATAAACACCACCACAAATCTATCCAAATAGGCACAAAACACTCTATTCATTAGATCCATAAAAGTGGCAGGAGCATTAGTTAAACCGAAAGACATCACCAAAAATTCATAATGCCTGTACCTCGTATAGAATGCGGTCTTTGGGATATCCTCTTCCCGAATTCTTAACTGATTATACCCAGAGCGTAAATCAATTTTTGAAAAACATCGCGCCCCTTGTAATTGATCGAATAAATCATCGATTTTGGGAAGTGGGTATTTATTCTTAATTATCACATTATTCAACTTTTAATAATCCACACATAACCTCAAACTTCCATCCTTTTTCTTTACAAATAGTACTGGAGCTTTCTAAGGTGAAGCACTTGGATGAATAAATTATTTTCCCCCTAACTCTTGTAATTGCTCTCGCAACACTCGCATCTCTGCTGGTGCCATTCGGTAAGGAACTTCGGATATTGGTTCCGTGCTAGGAATCAAGTTAATGCAAAACTTAACTTCCCTTTTTGGGTAACCTTGGCAATTCCTCTGAAAACACATTTTCAAATTTGTTAACTATTGGCACAATCTTAATATCCGAAACCTTTCCTCCATTAACACTTCCTCCTTGGCTACTACACACGCCAAATAATTCTGTTTTGATTCCACTCTTGTGACTCCCGCTAATATTCCCTTATTACACGGGCTCCTATACCCATAGATGATAAAGGGAACTTATCCGGGAAACTTAAATTCGACATATTTCTAGTGGCAATAGACATTGGTATAATAATCATATAGCCAATCCATTCCTAATATTGTATCAAATTCCAATGTTATCAATAACACTAAATCTACTAATGTCTCCCGGTAGTTAATTTGAACTACACAAGATCTATGACAACTTCTGCTATACAAATCTCTTCAAAGGGAATGGTCACTACCAATGGGTCTACCATTATTTCACAAGGTCTATTCAATTGTGACACAAAATTGAAGGAAACAAAAGAATGGGTAGCTCCAGGATCAAACAATACCAATGCTTCAAAATCACAAATCAAAAGAGTACATGCCACCACATCATTAGAAGCAGGCACATCTTGCGGACCCATGGCAAATACTCTTGCTTGTCTTCCTCAATAAGTACCTTGTGGTGCTAACTCAGTAGGTCATGATCGAGAGGTAGAAGCTATTCCTTTACCTTTATCGGGTTGACCTCTCCTAGGTGAAGGTGAAACTGCAGATACTACCACTGATGCTGGTTGTACATACCCACGACCAGTTCCTTGCAATCTCCCACTATAGAGACAGTCTCTTCTCATATGTCCCATTTGACCACAATTAAAACATACATCACATGATTGAACACGTGGCCCCACATGCGTAATGCCATAATGTACACAATAAGGGCTCCTCTGACCTATCTATCGACTATTAGGACTAGTCATTTCATTACCCAATTCTCAAAGATTACCTACTCCAAAAAAATTTCCACGGTGAGGTGAACTACTAAACTGGGGGTTTCTCCTCGACCCTTGAGTCCTACTTAACACTTGTCCTTTATTCTGAGCAGTATCCCCCTTACCAAGCTGACTTGACCTTCCATAAGTCATTTCTCAATTAGTATTCTTTTGATTAGTCTGCCCTTTAGTTGTAGTCTTTCTCGTACTTTCACGAAATGCTCTAGCCTCCATACTACGACCCTTTATTAATTGAGCACAATCCATTGCATTAGAGTAGGAATCCAACCTCTACGATGCAACAACTCTAAATAGATACTCAGATAGTCCAGCCACAAATCGATTCACTCTTATTTCTTCAGTAGATACAAGATATGGGGCTTATCTAGACAATTGAGTAAATTGCACATCATACTCAGATATCATCATCCCGAGTGTTTGTTTCAAAGCCTCAAACTCCTTAACCCTAGTCACTCGCAGACTATGAGTCATAAATCTGTCCATAAAGGCTTTATCAAATTCTTTCCAACCAAGCAGACCACTATTACTAGGTCTACCCCACATGTAAGACGTAATCCACTATTGCGCTACATCCTCAAGACAGAATATAGCCAATGTTACAGACCTTGTGCTTGAAGCTCCCAAAGCACTACAAATCCAAGAATCTGCACGGGTCCTCTCCCACGATGGAACCAGTAAATAATAGAGGTTTTAACTTCATAAATACAGATAATGAAAACTGAATCATCCCCTTTATCATCATTCAAATTATCCTCATCCTCCTTATCTGGTTCTTCCTCATCTATCATATTCATGTTTGAATCGTAATTCGAATCCTGTGAACTTGAATGCATATACTCTTCAGTTGTACCAGCACATTGCTTAGTAATTCTGTAAATTATTGGGTCAAATTTCGCAATCCAGCAACTAGTTCATCCAAAGTAGCACTCTCTAGAGTAAGTCCACCAACCCTTGTGCTGTTCGTACTAGCACTCCTTCGATCACTTGAACTACCCTCACTCGAATGTCAGGAACTCCTCCTTCCCCTTGTCCTAGGATGACTTCACCCTCGTTAGATAAAAACTTGTAATCGCTCGTCAATCTCTCTAGGTGCGTCTGTCTCACCCGTGGCCCTCAATGGTGCTTGTGTCCAGGGTAGCATATCAAACCTGGACATCGGCAACCAATTCTCGTTATTTAGTCATCTCTCATAATTACACAAGGTAGTTTTCTAAGATATATGTAGAATTACACATAACATCCTGCTTATAATCGGTGCTGCAGTCACTAACTATAAACAAGACTCTACATCGACCCCACTACTCCGCTGCTTGACACGAGAATTTCTAGGACTTGACTAAACCTATGGCTCCGATACCAATGCTATAACGACCTCTTACCTCGATCGTTACCGACGTTCGAGACTTGAAAGTAAACTCGCTAAGTCCCAAATAAGCCCTAGTTAAACTTCATGATAATTTAAACTCAACTCACAATTTTAATGCCATAGCTCATTTAAACTAAGTAAACACAATAGTTAAATCATGACGTTTAGATACCAATAATCCGGTTTAATAACTACACAACATATTCAACTTAATGAGTGACAATCATTACACAACATCAATTTTTTAACAAATACAGTTCCATAACTATTAATCATTATGAGGCTGACTACTCGCCACGGTACGACCTCTAGGCAGTGGAGTGACTCGGAGTGGGAGCCTAAGAGATGCCATTATCTACATTGCAGCAACTCTCGATGTGCTGAGCAATGCACTTGAGTAATCACTTATCTGCAAAAAGGAAATAAGGGAATGAGTCTCATAGACTCAAAGATCATCAACCCCGTGAGTAGGGCGTAGATAAGAAACAAGCTAAAGGCAGAAGATTTGAATATTAAAAATATAAGAATATATAAAAACAAATTAACTCAAAAGGGAGATTTGTGCCTTATATGTAAAACCAATAAGTTAATGCGAAGTAGGCATCTAAATCAATATCAAACCATTTCATATAAGATCTCTACCATTGAAATCATTTAAATACTGGCTTAAAGCAATTAGTATCGTCGCTCAAGCTCTCATGAAATCCATCGTTAACAAAGTTTATAAGCAAATCCATAAATCACCTCATTCATAAGGAATTAAAATCCAACGTCATCGTATAAATAAGGGAGCTACGGGAAAATAGTTATTTCTCACCATGCGAAAAACTACATGCGTGAAAACCTAAAGAGATATCACTCTCGAGTAAGAATAGAATAATAAAGCTCGTAGACCCGCTTTCATGTAATAACATTCGAGAGCTCCGCTCCACCAGATCCCCAC